TTGTGCAATTTGAAGATTTTTTTCTAAGTTTAAACAGAAATCTGTGTATATGGTATTCTTTGAAATTTATTGTTGTTATGTTAATTTATTAAAGCGAGGTGTGCATAGTTCATAGATTCTTTTGCTGCCTAGATTGTGCAATTCGTAGATGTTTTTTTAAGTTAAAACATATTGCTGTGTACATGGATTCTTGTCAAATATTTTTGGTTAGAAACTTTACGTCTTTGCTATCTAAATTGTTTGTTTCAGATTTTTAGCTTAAATTGTGTGTTTAAAACATGGTTTTTGCATGTGCGAAAACCACGTTTTTGGAGACATTTTAGGCTTAAAGTTTGAAATGTAGACAAAAAATTTTGATAGCAATATGGCACCTTGATGAGAAATTTGGCGACCTGAGGACGCATATAAGAGTAGTTCCATTTTAACATTTTGTTATGCTGAAGCAATGGTTTCTAACTTTTTTTTTGGCTTGCACATTCATGACTACTAATAATGTGGTGGGCTTCATTTACAACTGCAACTGCATTGCAGGTTCTAATGCAGTTCAGGTTCCAATAATAATGCGCATAATATATATATATATATAATATGAATTTTAAAAATGATTAATATTTAAAAATGAAATATGAAATAATACAAATGGTATTTTTTTTAAATAAATCAGACAGATTTATATTAATGTGATTGAATTTGAAGAAGGAATTTTTTTCCCTAATCAGTCATTGAAGTATTGTTTGGTAGATTTAAATTTATATTTTGATTTTATGAGGTTTCATCATGAATAACAATGATTCACATAATAAATTGACCAAAGAAGATTTTATAGTGTCTGCTTGACTTCTTAAATAAAAAAGTTACCTCCAATTAAGCAGTAAATTATATAAGCACATACTGCATGATTGCACATGAAAGTAATGAATCCAATTTAATTGCAACTCTGTAGTGCTGTGATGAGACAGTTAAAAGATTTAAGATCTCGCTTTTTGTTGCTTTATAATAAAGGACTGGGGAACCTACATTAAGGTATGTAGAAAGAAACCTAGCACTGATGACCAGCTTCAGTTTAAGACAGTTTTGGGCATGTCTGAAGATGGTTACACACTCAATGTAAATTTGGTTTTTGCTGTGGAGCAGCTGTTTCATATGTAAAGTAAATAAGTTTAAAACTTTTTAATGAAATATACTGATTATATTTAAAAACTAAATTATATGTTTTTTTTTTAATATTAAAAGATGCAAAGGCCATTCTTAAATTATTTACTTTAATTTTTTTTTCTCATTAGAATTAAAGGGGAGAACCTTCTTGAAAGAATCTGAATTATAATCTTTGAAACTTTTTGATCATTTGTGTAATTTACTTTTTTAATCCTTTAGAGATACAAGCAAGGTGTAAATGGTATGAATTAGAAAGACAACATGGATTGCATATGTTTGCCTTAAAGATAAATACAGCTTTGATTTTGCTGCAAGTGTTGGTATATGAATGTTGTTAGAGGAGAATATGTATAAACACATTTATAGACATATTGCACGAATATGCATGAACATATACGTAGGTTTACATTTTCTAGTGATGATTTTTTTTTTTTTTTTTTTTTTTTTTTTTTTTTTTTTTTAGCTTTTCTATAGCTTTGTAGTGTATGAGAATAGCTTTGAGTGAGTCTCATTCTGGTTTCATTTTGTTGATATTTGTTGATTTTATTGGCAACCAAAATGCTAAGTGAGAAAAAGTGTAGCGAAATTTAGGCACTTACCACTAAATAAACAAAGAAACTGTTTAAATGATGGTAATATGAATCAAAAAAGAAAAAAGAAAGAACTTACTTTTTATTTCCAAAAATATAAATTCTTACTTAAATAAAAAATTGTAATTTATTTTTTGTATGTCTTTAAATCAGCATTAGCAATTAATATGGCGTCAAATTAATTATCCCCTTTTTATGGCAACCACATTGTTCAGCCAGGTATAATCTTTGAAAATGTCAGCAAGGCATATGAATCTGTTCGTACCATACAAATCTAATTATTGATTGCTGATGCAAAGGCCTCTTTTTTTTTTTTTTTTTTTTTTTTGCTGGCATATGCATTGCATCTCCATGTGGCTTTTGTGGTGATATATAGTTTTATTTCATATCTTTGTTTTCATATTGGTGAAGGGTAAGATATCCCTTTCTTAGAAAAATGCTGCAATTTCAATTTCATTTAATGGTAAATTAAAAACTGTCATTATTTTGAATTAAAAAAATTCAAATAATTGAAAAAAAATGTTTAACAATTTATATAATGTGGTTTCGGGTTTGAATTTGAACTTACGAGAATGCACATGTGATTTACAAGCATAAAGACATGTGAAAATTGACGAAAAATCTCAAGCTTAAAGTTCATGTGCAAATTAATATTATGAGAGAATGGAATATGAAGAAGTTTGACTTAATTATGGTTTGTCATTTGTCAATAAATGGCAGATAATTTGACAATTAATCACTGGTAATTCTGACAAGTACCTTTATATTGTATAACCTTATGAAAGATGGGGAATTTTTTAAGTCTAATCATAATATTTGATTTAACTTTTTATGCATTGTTTCATATTAGATTCTCCTATTCCCTTTAACCCTTTGAGGTTCAGTGCATAAAACAATTTTTTTTTTGGTAAAAATAACTTTACCTGTAGATAATTAGCCCCTAATACAATGTTATTTCATGCATGAAAAACAGGTAAACCTGTAAGGCAATTCATGACATGGTGGGATACCGCTTGTCCCAATGTGCATCTAGAGCAATAAAATGACATTCTCCTAGCATGCTTATCTAAAGTGCTAGTTTTAGCAACCAAATGAAAATGCGAGATATAAAAAACCTTTTTAAATAATTATCTAGAAATTATTGATCATATTCGCAAAATAAAAAATATTTAAAAAAAAATATACAATTTTAAAAAAATCGCTCTCTGTGTGACTTTTTAGATATTTTTTAATGATTTCATGATAGATTTGAAACAGAGAAAATTTTCGCTCCAGTACTTTATTTGCTACAGGTTTGAAAAGGAAGATATTTAGAAAGGAAGTCATATTTATTTATATTTCACCTCTCTTTCCTCTGCTTAGCATATATTTCGATGGTGAATTCAATGACATTTCATGTTACAGAGGAGCCCACCAGCGGCCGAGCGGTAAAGTCGCTGAACACTGGTAATTCGGTCCGAGGTTCGAATCCCGCGAACGGGCTGGCTGCATGGGTGTTTTCGTGGTTTTCCCCATGTGTAACGTGTATACGAGCCAGTTTCCCTTAGAAAGTCCTCCACAAAAGGCATCCCTCCCCTTAGGCAGATAGCCCTCGAGGCTTTGCCGTAATTGAATAACCTAACCTAACCTAACCATGTTACAGAGTTATGTTTTCATTTCTTTTGGAAAAAATACTAAACATTTTTCAAGTTTTTTCATTATTCCAATTTATTGAAAATATAAATTTGCATTATCAACATATAAATGAATGGTGCTGCCATCTAGCAGCAGCAATTCCTACATGTGCGTTGGACATATTTGTCCCACCTTTTAATTTCAATCATTCTAAATTAATATATATGAATTCAGATAACAATTTTTATTAGAAAAGGAAACTTTCACATAAAAAATATTCATTCTAACACCAAAAGTTGTTGTTTAGATTATTAATTAGAAATTAAGGAAAAAAAACTGCTTCCAAATTAGACCTGCAAAGAATTTTTATTTTACATTATTTCCATGAATGAATACTAATACTACTATTTGTTATACATTTTGAGAACTAAAAGGCATAATTATATGCATTTTAAATGGAATTTTGCAGCTTTCATCTGGGAGGTACACCGCCCGCACATCATTACAATGACAAATTAAAATAAATCATTATGTAAATTAAGGTTCTAAATACTATTTTAAACAGCATTTTTGAATGATTTTTAAAAAAGGGTACTTATTGGGTATAGGGGGCATGAAACCAATAGGCACCGCAGTAAATTTTGGCTTAAACTGATTGCTGATATTATAAATAGGTCTCCAAATATGTGAAGAATTAAAGAATGCCATCTTTTAACATTTGAGAGTAATCTATCGGTATAATTTTGTGGATTCCAAAGCCAGGACTCGAATGCAAACCATTGTGAGACTGTGGGAATCTGCAAAATAAGAGGCATAGAAATGCTATGAGAAGACACTTGGACTTGTATCTTGTAGAATGTATCTGGCAGAGTGTTGCTGGTAGTGATAAATTTAATGAAATTTTATCAGCAATAATTGAGTTATGGCTACCACAAATTTCATTGTGATGTAATATTTTCCGCTAAGTTTATTAAATTCCATTATAATTCAAAATTTTAGCAATGTGTTTGTAGTTAATTTATGGTAATAGATAATATTGACAATATTCTTGTTTGCAACAACTCAGAAGAACAGTTGACAACACATGGTTCCTATAACAGATAAGAACCAGAAAAAGCTTGAAAAAATTAATATTTGAAATTTACATATTAAGGCAATCAATGTGGTAAAAGTCATCAAATATTCAACTATGTTAATCATGTGCATAATAATTTTTTAGTTTTAAAAATGTCATCATTTTCATACACTTTTTTTTAGAAGGTTTTATAAACAAATTGCGATTTATTTGTTTAAACTCAGTTTGAAAGCACACATTTGTGAGATTTGTCTGCAGTAGAAGAAACTACAGTAAAATTTCTGCGGAAGTACAGTATTTACTGCCATTTTGCAATGGGAAGCATTTGCTATAAGTATATTCTTAAAGCAACTGGTATGTAAGTTCTACCAGGACTAAAGAAACAAAAGTATGCTTGTAAATAGATTTATGAATTGATTTTTGGGATAAACACCTAATTAAAGAGTAAAACATATTTATATCCATGTAATAAATAATTTTATGGGTATGCTAATAAGTAAGTACTTAATATTAAATGAAATAATTATATTTCCTTATTATTTAGTGTGTTTATTTACATTTAATAGGTGGAGAGGGAGCATTTATAAGCTATTATGGCCTGATTTATCTCTGTATTTTACATTTTATTACTTCTTGAGCATCATCTATAGATTTGCTCTAAATGAATCTCAAAGAAGGTAAGATTTTTTTTTAAACTTTATAAAGTTTTTTTTCCTTATTTCCATTTTTTAATTGTTTTTGCATTTTACACATAAAAGTAAAAAAAAAAAAAAAACATTTATATGGTTGTTTTTTGAAGTCAGTTATTATTTAAAATTTTAATTAAAAAGACTTTTTTATAACATTTTATCAGTAAAATATGTGACAATATACCAAGCAAAAATTCATCCATTATATTTCTCTGCTTTATATTGCATTGTGATATTATATTGCATTTATCTGCATTGTGACATAAAAATAAGATACTTCTGTATTATCCTGCCAACTATAAAAATGTCACCAAGCAGTGCGATTTAGCACAGTAGTGAGCACAATGTAACAGTAGTAGTGATGATTATTAAATGTTCATTTATTTCGTAACTAGTTCCTAAATAGTATTATACTGTCTCATGTTGTTTAAAAAATAATTTAATTTTTAGTTTATTTGTTAATAAAATTCTACATGCACTTTTTTTCATATATTTAGATACTTTGAGAAAGTCTCATTATATTGCAAAACATATGGGGATTTAATTCCGGTATCATTCATTCTGGGTTTCTATGTATCTATTGTTGTAAAGCGATGGTGGGATTCATTCAACTGCATTCCTTGGCCAGATACACTTGCATTTTTTGTCAGTGCCTATATTCATGGCCAGGTAAAATAATTCTTGCATCATTTCAAATTTTTGGCACCTCTTGCTTCATTTGTTTTCCTGACAATTATTTTAGTTTCTGCATGTCCTGCAGGATGTAGTTATTTTTGCTATGCTTTGATGCCTTTCGTGAATCTTTTATGTTTTACTTGTAAACTCTGCACATTTTGCATGAACTTGTTTTTATTTATTTTTTCTTTCTGCACACATATATCTTTTTATTAAGGACTGTGTCATTTATTATGAACAAATAAAATTGCTCAGACTTTGAAATCGTGTAAATAAAAATATTATTTATATATACAGTCAATGCTTAAATTGCACTGGAGCCCGCTGGAACCCCGCTCTAGTGACCTGCAAGATTAGTTCTAATTCTGACCAGAATGCACCAGAGCCTCAAATAAGATTAATTCTAATTCTGACCAGAATGCATCAGAGCCTCAAATAAGATGAACTCTGGCACTTCAGTATGAGAAATTGGGCCACGATTTCAGATGAAATTCTTTTGATCCTGTAGCATTTTATTTTAGCAAAAAGTAAGACTTAGACACTAATACACTGACTACCAATAAGTATTTGGACACCTATGCAAATGACGATATCTGCGGTCCTAAAGTACGTCACGGACTCCGCCGTTATATATCGTGTAGGAAACAGCATCAGCTTTAGTCGCATGCAAGATACCTCGCAGTTTGGAGCTCTCTGATTTCGAGAAAGGTATAATTATCGGGTATCACAAATGTGGCCGATCCTTAAGGGACATATCTAGCGATCTGAAGCACCCAAAATTGACAGTGGCCTATGTGATTAAGAAGTGGAAGGAGCGGTGGTTGTTGGAATGTGCCCCGAGTCGGCAGACCAACAAAACTGGGAGATAGAGACCGACGAGTGCTGTCCAGAGAAATTCGGAAGAACTGCACCCAACCGATGGCCCTTATCCACGAGGAGTTTCAACAGGCATCCGGGAGTATTGTTTCAATGAATACCATCCGTAAGGAAGCACATCTGCTTGGTTTTCATGGTCGTGCTGCTGCCCATAAGCCTCTGATCACAAAGTCCAACTGCGCTGCTAGGTTAATGTGGTGCAAAGCACTTCAAAATTGGACCGTAGATCAGTGGAAACGGGTTCTTTGGAGTGACGAATCAAGGTTCACCCTTTACCGTTTAGATGGCAGGTTATGGGTCTGGCGTCTACCTGGAGAACGTCTTCTACCAGAATGCATTGTGCCAACAGTCAAGTTCGGCGGAGGTGGAATTATGGTCTGAGGGTGTTTCTCCTGGCATGAGCTGGGACCCTTGGTCTCCATTCATGGTAAGGTCAACTCCGATGCCTACTGCACTATTTTGGATGACAATGTGCTTCCTACGTTGTGGCAGTTTTACGGGTTGGATACCTGTTACTTTTAGGACGACAATGCCAGTTGTCATGTTTCGACGTTAACCAAGGCTTGGTATGGGGCCAATGGAGTTCATCAAATGGACTGGCCTGCCCAGAGTCCAGACCTGAACCCTATTGAGAACCTCTGGGAGGAGTTGCATCCCTGAATTCAGGGGTGCATTGCCCGTGCAAAATCGGTGAAGGAACTTCTATCTCTTCTCCAAGCCGAGAAAATACCACTTGCTGTCATACAAAGACTTGTGGAAAGTATGCCCCGGTGCGTCCACGCTGTAATTACCTCTCGCAGAGGCTCAACCAACTATTGATTTTGAATAAAGTTAGTTTTTCTTTTCTATCACAGGTGTCCAAATACCTATTGGTAGTCAGTGTATTAACTTCTGAAAGCATACTTTTCTTTCCTTGGGTAAGAACCCATGGATAGGGGTTGAGACATTGAGGGAAAGAAAAGCCCCCACCTACATGTCAAAACCTTATCTAGGAAATGTAAATTTAGAAGAGCTTCTTCTTAGGAACAGGTCTCATGGTCACTCTGGTCTGCCATACCCACTTTCTTTCTTTTCACCATCGACGGAACAGCTGGCCCACTGGGTTAGGTGCTTTTCAGCCTGTTGGATCCCGTCGATGGAATTTTAAAAATACATGAATAAATATAAATAAAGAGCTTAGTACTGTGTCCTCCGGGGATTGGCCACGAAACGAGGAACATTGAAGTGAAGACCAGAACATGGAAACAAGGTGCATGGTGGGGACTGCTGAGACTAAGCGGAACACATTTCACTATTATCGTACATGTTAGGCATACAGTTATATTAAGGATGTGCTATAAAAATCAGGTACAGATGTAAAGATGACCAAATACATTACAAATTGTGGAATACATTAAATGAGTTCTGGATTAGTCATAATATTAAATATAATTAAAAACAGCAAAACAAACAAACAAAAAAAACAAAAAAAAAAAAAACACAAGACATTAAGTAAATCAATATATGTACAAAGCAGGCTGCTGACGGCATGGTGTCCAAGGAAAGAAGTCACTCCAGATTGTCAGCAATGCTTTTAGCAATGGTAGTGCAGTCTCTAATGCGGCTGAGTGCATATTTATTCTTAATTGTGCTCTTGAACCATGCTGGCATATTGATTGCAGTTGGTCTTTTCAAATGTGAATTTCCCGTGTGCGAGCAGTCAAACAGATAGTGATATGGGTCACCAGTACTGCCACAAATACATTGGTCACTCTCTCTTAGGCGAAATCTGTGAAGATAGGACATATATGGGCCATGCCCTGTCAAATACTGTGTGAGGTGCGAAGAACTGCTATTTAAATTGTGGTTAACTTTTGGTTGGAAATCATACAGTCTTCTGCCTGTGGTGCTTGTCTCTCAGTAGTTTTGCCACTGCTTCATTAGTTCACATTTGAGAGTAGTTTTCAAATACGAGTGCGGAAGGGGCACACCAATGCTACTCACGTGGGGTTCATTGGCTGCGCCCTTCGCAATCATATCCGCTGCTTCATTTCCTTTAATCTTGTATGGGCTGGAACCCATTGTAGCTGGGGCCTCAGACTTGCAGGAATTGAAATTAATAGTTTTTGTATGTCTCTGACAATGGGATGTCTACTGCGGCCGCCTTGGATGGCCTACAAGCTTGACATTGAGTCTGTGTAAATTACTTTATACCTGCTATTGTTAGCAGTAAAGTCCAGAGCTGCCTTTAGGGCTGTAAGTTCTGCCTGAAACACTGAGTTACTGGGATGAAGCTTCTTAGCCCAGGAACGGATTATGTGGTCACCCTCCATTGCACACCAGGCACTGCCAGTCCCGAGTTCTCCTTTGGAGCCATCAGTATATACGGCTAAGGATTGTAATACACTTGGAGGATTACAGTTTGCTTCTATATCGAAGTCTGCAGGGTGGCAAGGAAAGTGGGCAATGTGATTCTCGTAGTCCGAGAATACGTAGGTCTTACTCCAAATAGTAACGTCTTGTTTTAGTCTGATCACTCTCACCACAATACTCTCACTCTGTACTATCAAGTGCAGCGGCGGAAGCCCAGCCAATACGTTTAATGCAGTTGTAGGAGAGGTACGGAATCCTCTGCAGATGCCCAGAAAAAATGGTCTTTGCGCAGAATTCAATGCATGTTGCATGTTAATCGTGACATTGACGCCCCATATGGAAACGCCATGAAGAGCTATGCGCTCAGCAACTGTGACATACCATATTTTGAGCATCTGTGAGGAGACACCCCAGTTAGCAGCAGCTGTTCTCTGCATTGTATTAGACAGTTTATGTAGCCTTTCTTTAAGATCCTTGATGTGAGGGAGCCAGGAGAATCTGTAGTCTATAATCACACCCAAGTAGCGGAAATGTCTCATGAATTGTATGTTTCTGCCATGAAGGTTTACGCACGGGGTACGCTCATGCCTTTTTCCTGGGCTAATTAGCATTCCTTTGGTTTTTGCTCTTGAAATTGTGAGCTTATGTTCACTGGCCCAACGGACTATTTTGTCTAACGCTTTTTGGAAATTTATCTCGTAACTGTTACGGCTGTGACCGTTTGAAATTAGCAAGAAGTCATCAGCATACGCTATTATTTCTGATGTTTCATCATCATCAAACAGGTTGAGCACGGTGTCTGCTACCAGGTTCCACAGATGTGGACCTAGGCAGGAGCCCTGCAGGCAGCCTTTCGTCACCTTTTGCATGTGGACACCTCCGTCTGTTGTAGCTTGAATTCGTCTTTCACTCAGGTAGCTGTAGATCAAATCAAATATAGTTTGGGAACAATTAATATCTTTGAGACATTTCAAAATATCATGCCACCACAACGAATCGAAGGCACCTTGAATGTCTATACTGATGACAACAGTATGCAGTTTATTTTGCTTGTTTCTAAGTACCATGTTCTGTAGGTAATTCAGCGCGTGATCCACTGACTTTCCTGCTATAAAGCCATATTGACTAGTATTTATGAGTTTATTAGCATGAATGTAAAAATTCAGTCTTTGAAGTATTATTCTTTTGAGGATTTTTCCCATGGCTGGGAGCAGGCAGATAGGCCTCATTTGGATCTTTATTTCCCTTTAGGAAGAGGGAAACTTCTGCTAATTTTGTGCCTTCTGGAAAGTGGCGAATTCTCCAGCATGCCTGTAAATAGGAGAAAAGTATTGCTGGATACATGTTATGCATAGTTCTGAGAATGTTGTCAAGCCCATCCGGACCTGGAGCTTTACTTGGATTGAGCTTCTTGATTACATCACTCAGTTCCTTGCTTGTTGGAAGAGGCTTAGAATCAGGAATCGACGAAGTATAATATTGTTCAATACTAGTTCGTATTTTCTTCTGCGCTGTAGTATCTTTGTAGGGATCATCATGCTGGAAAATCGTTTCCAGTATATGTGTCACTATCTGGGAACTAGTGTTGGCATTCTGACAGATTGATGTAGTTAGGCTAGTAGGTTTGAAGACCTTATCATGAGCAATTTTGAATAGTCTACCAAATTTTTCTTTTGCGTTTGTACAATATTTCTGGCCAACATTCCAGTTTAGCCTTTGAAATCTTCCGTTTGTAGACTGCACGGTTTTTCCTGTATATCATTCCC